CCATAGGGCCATAGTGCCATAGCGCCATAGCGCCTTAGTTCCTTAGCGGCAGGCAACCCCCATAACCATCCCAATAGTGCACTCTGCACTAAAAATGACCAGAGCAAGCTTTGTACTGAGCTCTTCAGTACAGTTATTGAAAATGTCCCTAATGCATTGCATATTTAACATGCTATCATAAAATGCTACATGTAAAATGCCTCAACTATCTACTTACACCAGTTGAAATCTCACTTGCTAAATTCGTAAGCAATGATTCATTTTTTTAAATTCTCTTTTGGACAATCTTGAAATGAATGTCTTTCAATCTCAACTAACCTTAAGAATTCCTTTGTTACTGAGAAGTAAGTTGGATGCCTTGAGATCCCTGTGTAGAATCCAGTTGTCATGAAGATGTGTCACTGCTCTTAGAAGCTGGATCATCAGCGTTTTAATCTCACCTACAAAACAATGAAACATGCAAGACTTGTATCACACATACACAGTTTACACAATGTAGGAAATCGCCTTGCTCACTGCGAGTCTCTGTAGCTCAGTGGTTACAGAGCCTCGCCAGTATCTGGGAGGTCATGGGTTCAAATCCTGTCAGGGGTTCATATTTTTCTTTGTGCCATGCTCATCACATGCTGAACATTCCACCCCTTGTATGTACTATCTGTTACAAACTAGTTATCTACCAGTAGGTAATTCGGATTTTTAGACCACACAATGATTCATTTGAGTGTGAGTAAGACTTTCAAATTTCAGTCCAGTGACACACGAATGCATTGGCTTTCCAAATCTATTAGTCCACTCTGTCACCAATGAGTTGAACAGGTGGCGATCTTTATGTATGTATGTATGTATATATGTATATCTGATTGGTGTGAAACATGAAGCACTATGCTTAAGCATCTGGCTAGGTTTGAAATGTCATACTCAAACTCAATCTCATACTCATTTTCTGATCACCATTCCTTAAATAATAACTTATGCTGCATCATCACTGAGTCGGGTTACAAGCCTTACTAATACATGTATAATGATAACAGTCACTGGTTTGAAACCAGGAATTCCAGCAGCACATGGAGTGTGATCATCTAGATGAGAATACAAATGCACTTCAGCTTGCAGGGCCATATGACGTCATAAGGGTAGCTACACCACACATGGGCATACCTCATTGGGGAATGCCTACAGGTAAGGTCTGACTTACAAGTAAAACGGTTTTAACACTGTTGTCTACTGTAGATGGTTCCACTCCTTCCCCTTCTACCAGCAATATTCAATGCATGTTACACTGTTTGTATCTCACCAATTCTAAAACCTTGTGTCATGTGCTCCATCAAAACTTTAAGATCGTGTTCAACATAGTCCATTACAATGTAGATCTTATCCATGTTGCTGCCTACGACTATCTCCTATGGAAGCAAAACAACGCAAGACACTCCATTAACATACTAATGCCTAAAACAGGAACTCTAAATTGGGCTTAACATTGCAGTGCTGGCTGGCAAACAGCAACCAGGCAAGTACACGTATGTAATCATTTTTTTTTGGCACATGAACATTGTACAGAGTATTGCAAGGTCTGTCAGCTTGGGCACAACACAGTACACCTACCCTAACCGTCACAATGTTGGGATGCTGTGCTTTAAGAAGAGTGTTGATCTCACGCAAAGATGTGATTGGAAATCCCTCCTTCTCTCTCTCCATCTTTAGTTTCTTTAATGCGACTATATCACCTGGACGTAAAAATAAATCAACAAAATCAATAATCCTTTAATTTTAAATGTATGAGGTACTGGGTACATGTAGCTACAATTTGAATTTATTGGCTATTGCAACTTACTTTCTAGACTGTAAACACAGACATATTTTCTGACTGTCGCTTGTCTCCACCAGAAATAATGTCTGGGAATGTGAACGAGAGACTGATTTCGGTGACTGTGTTTGCACGAACTCCACGTACAATTTTTGCAAGTACCTCTTTGGATATGCAAGGTGAAATGTGATTGGTTAATAACAGCTGACCTCCATGCACTATTTCTGTGAGTACCTCTTTGGATATAGGCAAAGTTGAAATGTGATTGGTTAAAAACAGCCGAAGTCACTAAAATCGATCTCTTGTTCAGGTTTGTAGACATCATTCTCGGCAGAGACAAGCAACAGCCCGAAATACATCTGGGTTTGCAGGCCACTTACTTTCTAGAGAGACATTTTCATAGTTTCATTAATGTTGAAATAAATCAAACCTGTTCTCTTGTCTTTAGCTCTGTAGACGACCCCATAAGTTCCCTCTTCAATTCTGTTCAACCACTGGAACTCTTCAACATTTCTACAGCCACGGACAGCAGGATAGTATGCAGGAAGTTTAGCGTTCTTTTCTTTCTCGTCTTCCTCTTGCTCACCATCAGAAAGTTGTTTCATTTCAGAATCGGAATGAGCTTCGTCTTTATCATCTTCCACACTACTACCCTCGCTTTCTATGTCAACCACTTCATTGGTGAACTGCCTTCTCTCACGCGCAGTTAAGATTAGAGACTTGCCCTCGTCCTTCCTTGGTTTATTTGGCAATGTATCTTCTCCACCATCTCTGCTGTCTTTTGCACCTTTTTCAGAAGTTGTACTTTTTCTCCTACTCCCACTGCGATCTTTCCGGTCTTTACTTTTAGTTTCGAGTTTTCCAGTTTCATCAGGGGATGACTTTTGATGTTTTCCGGAATCCTTTCTTGAACTCTTCTTTTCTCGATCAACCTCGACTTCAGAGTGTTTTACCCTTGTACCTGGTCTCTCAGATTTTGTTTTGCTACTTTCTTTGCCGTGGGACTTATGTCTGTCACGACTTTCCTTTTGTACATCCCCAGTTCTGCCCCTTTCATAGAATCTACTCTTGCTTTTGCTTTCAGAGTGCCTTCTCTCCTCAAGATTTTGATATTTGAAATGAGCTTTCTCCTGGTCAGAAGTTTTACGTTCTTTGTCACTCCTGGCATCAAAGGAGCTCTCTCCTCTTCTCCTCTCAACCCTTTCCTGATGGTGATGTCTCTCAGCCCTTACTTTCTGTTTGTGCCTCTCATCAGTTGATCTATGACGTTTGAGTTGTTGCAACTCCTTATGAATATCCTCAGATTCAAACTCCTCCACCTTGGCGCTTTCAACAACTTGCTCAGTCTTTTGTGACACTGCTTTCTTAACTTCTTCTTGTTCACTTTCTTCTGAACTGTCACTTTCGCTTTCTTCTTCCTCGCTATCTTCCTCACTGCTTTCTTCTTCACTTGAACTTTCTTCGTCCTCCTCTTCATCCTCATTCTTTGCAAGCAGTTCTTTAGATCCACTCACTTTAACTCCTGTTTCTCTCTGCTGTTTCATTTTACCTTTACTTTCCTTTTCCACTACTTCCTCTTCATCATCGTCATCATCATCATCATCTTCTTCACTGCTACTTTCCTCACTTCCACTTCCAGATTCAGATACACTTTCTTCCTGTTTCCCATCTGTTTCTTCTTTTGCCTCTTTCCTTACTTTTTTGGTAGCAGTTGCTGTCTCTGTATCATCTTCACTTTGTTCTTCATTTGCGTCCTCCTCTTCACTAGACTCTTCTGATTTCTTTGTTGCCATGGCACCTACACAGTACATAAAAAAATCCTTTAAGTTCCAAAACCAAAATATCAACTCTTTCTGCTGACCCCTATACTGTACATTTCTTTTCATGCCACTTTTAAGAATTTGGTAGTACATGAAGAAGATAACCTTTCCTTGACTGAAAATATGCAAGGCCTTTTAAGCCTACGTGGCTCATAGCTCTTGGCACTCATGTGCAACTCTGATTTCTGCAGCATGAAGAGGCTTGGAGTATTGCCACTACCCTTAGATGGTACTATAAGAGTAATTAGTGGTTTGTGCAAGGACAGAACACAATGACCATGGAAAGGGCTCAAACTTGGACCATCAGTGGGCCATTTCTGTATGAAAACTCTAATTACACAAATAATTATTAAAATGACGACACAAATACAGTCAGGTACATTCCCTTGCGGGAATGATACATGCACAGTGTACTAACCAAAACCCATCACAGGTTCTTCTCCTCTAAGAAAAACCTGTGATGGGCTTCTGTTTTCTGTTTCCTAAAGAATCGAGGTTGGCTTGCCCAATCATTTTGTTCTGTCATGCGTCTAGCATTACTAACACAGTTGAGCACTGTATTTCATTGCAAGGTATTATGGTTTTGGATTTTTCCATGTGATTGTTGGGGTTTGTAATTGTCATGTTCGCCTGTGAAAATGCTTTCTCATTTCACCACAAAATTTTTTTTCAAATAAATCTGGTTACACTGCTGATGAAGGACCTAGGCCTATGCCTTGTTTGTTGTGGGAAGCAAGCTAATGGATCAGGGTTTGAAGGATCAGAACATATTTTGCTTTCGCTCAGTGATGCACTAGAGTGATATTTGGCATTTTGACGAAGAACACATCACAAAGACTATCACCTACTCCTACACAAATAGTCCAGATTTATTGAGTGACATTGCTAATTAAATATCATCAATACCTTTTTCTTTCAACTCAACAGGACTGGTTTTCTCTTCTAAATCAGGATTGCTGATAGATGAATACCTCCTTGATCGTTTTTCACCTCTTCTGCTCTCAGAATCTGACTGATCACTTACAATCTCTCCTTCTTCTTCCTCGGTAGTCTTTCTTCCCTTCTTTACTCGGATGCCAGCAGGACCAACTTCATGAGATAATTGAGGTTTTAACTTCTTAGGAGTTCCACTTGTAGATGATGCTGGAAACAACAAATTCAAAAAATGTTTTCAAGTGTTTTTCTTTACATGGAACAACAAATGCTGGTTATTCAATACTCCCAATTTTCAACACTGTATTGGGTGGAGAGGGGGTCAAACAGCAACGTGTTTTAAAAGGATAGCAGCACTGTTTTCAAACTTCAGTTGTAAAGCACAGACAATTTGTTACAATACATAAGTGTCTCCAGGACGTTTGTCCACAATTGTGCAATGGGCCATTCTATTTTTTTTTTATCCACCCCCCACCCCTCCCCACACAATTGAAGTACTAGGAACTCTGAGGGGAAGGGGGTCTTTGAAGGCTGTTTCTGAGGGGGCAATTGTGTCAGTGCCTTTGACCTTTTAGCAAACTCTGAAGGGAGAAATGTCTCGGCACTTTAATCTCCTTTTCTTGGGGGGTAAAAAGTTTACTTTCCTGAGGGGATAAAATTCTAAGTAGCTCAATGGGGGCTGGGGAGGGAGCAGATGTTAAGTAGAATGGCCCAAGGCATGTACTGTATCATAACCAGGGTTGTCACTAAGCGCTGGCTGCCGGCGAAATTTGCCAGCTGAGAAAGAGGTGATCGCCAGTTGGAGTTTAGCGGGTAGGTCACTCGGTAATGGACAACAAATGGTTTTTAGGTTACGCACATACAATCATTCGATATCTGAACCATATCGAATTGTCTACATGTAAATGAAAAGTTTGGAATAAACTCCTGACTATCTTGAGTATCGATGCCACTATAACAAGTAAAGTAATTGGAATAAAATCTTGTTTTGAGCACATGTCTGACATGTTCTCTTTCCATGTACTGCGCCTGCCATTCTGTAGCCACGAAGCTCAGCAGCCCGGCAGTAGCTCCGCATTCAAGGTGTTGCAAAAGATTGGGGACGAAATTTTGTTCCAGCTCTCTCACAAAAAATGGTGACCAGCTCAATGAAAATCTTAGCCGGGAGACTATTTTCTTAGCTACAAACCTGCATAACATCTGAGCTTGCCTACAGTGTACACGTTTGCACAGTAATCAAGCAGTTACAGTGCTAAAGTGCACTGGTTTACATTTTATAAGAGCAAAAAGCACGCACTATTTTAATACGTATAACTAAAAAATTTACTCACGTGGAGATAAACTTAGTTGTTCTGGACTAAGCTGGTAAATGATTTCGCTGCCAGAACCCTGCGCTTGAGGTGACCCTTGCTTTGAGGAGGTTCTCGATTCGCGTCGAGCGGAAGCCAAAGGGCTAGACTTTCCTTCTGGCGATCCATTTCGTTCCTCTCCGGGTGTATCGTCCTTTTCTATTCGCCTCCGTTTCTCTTGTAGAATCTCATCTAGTGACTTAATTTTGAAATCTTCCGGCGTTCGATGGCCGCCGTCATCTGCATCAATATCTTCCGAGTCCGCAGGTCTTTTGCGATGCACTTTTTGTGGATTTGAAGACATCATATGAAAAATATTTTCAATGAATATTTCCTTTAAAAATCTCCCGACCACGTTTTAATTACGGCTTATATTTTAGCGCAGACTTTCATTCGAGAACTATGAACTAAAACGCCGCCATGTCGTCTTCCATCAAACCCATGCTTCTTTGCGGGTGACTATTAGTAACCAGGTCCCAGTGAGCTGCTCAACATGGGCATGTAACGCGTGCACAGTGTCGCTCACAGACGATTTTTTGCCACGCAATCTTCTCCCATCATAGTAAGTTCTACTTGTAAGTAAGTAAAACATTTCCTAACTGTTTCCCCTTACATTTCCACAAACACGTGACAAGCTTTAAAAATAATTTATTCCATGTAACTTGTTCACGTTTCATTTAGAGAAATTTTAAAGTCAAAATAGTGTATCTCTTTCCTTTATCTCGGAAACTAAGAAAGGTTTAACCATGGATAGTAAACGGTTTAACGTATTGCCGAATTTTTTCCCCATAACACAGCCATAACCTGATGAAATATGATTATTGTTGCAACTTTTCAGCGGGCGAGGGGGAAAAGGCGTTGAGGAGAGGAGTGAGCGCGGGGTTCGATAGCTGTACTATAAATTTGTATCTTTGACATTATTTCAAACAACGTTAACAAATATTGTGCTACCTTTGAGCAAAAAGCACGACAGTCTGGTAGCAAAACCATCTGCTCGGCTAGGTCCGGCTAGCTAATTTGTTTTCTTCTTTTTCCGGCCAGTTAAATTGCTTTACCAAATTAATTGCTCATGGATGACATGTTTGGTAAAAAATAAAAAGCATAAATTTTTTGATCAAGGCATTCCAGCTAGCAGTTAAACTCACGCCTACACACAGATAGTGAGATCGCAGCGGCAGAGTAATGGCTACAGTAAACGTTTCTGAAGATGGAAAGCAGAACATTTTTACGACGGCTGAACTGCTATACTGCTCATCAGATATAACCGCTGGAATACATGACCAGTTTACAGCTCTCGCAGTTTTAAACGCTTTTCTGTCCATTACGACATTTCTTGGAAATGTTTTGATTCTAGCCGCTCTTCGCAAGGAGTCTTCCCTTCATCCGCCGTCCAAAGTCTTGCTGAGTAACCTTGCAACAACTGATCTTTGTGTTGGTCTTATTGTAGAGCCTCAGGCTGTTATTTTTCTCATGTCTGCGGTAAATGAGAATTGGGAGATATGTCGCTACGCAGTAGTCGTCCTTTTTATCACAGGCATTACTTTGTGCTCAGTGTCTCTGTTGACACTCACTGCGATAAGCGTGGACAGACTTCTCGCCCTGTTGTTGGGGCTGAGATACAGACAAGTTGTAACTTTGAAGCGAGCCTACCTGATCGTTGTTACATTTTGGGCTGTATCCACCATCTTTTCAGCAATGCAGTTTTTTAATATCTTTATCGCCTTGTGGTGTGGAATTATACTTATATTATTTTGTTTAGTAACTTCAACCTTTTGTTATACAAAGATTTTCCTCACCCTCCGCCATAATCAAAACCAAGTACAAGAACATGTTCACCAAACGAACCAAACAAATCAATTGAACATAGCGCGATACAGGAAGGCAGTGTCCACTGCACTGTGTTTAAAGTTCACGTTACTCGCTTGTTATCTGCCACAAGTAATATTGGCAACTTTGCTCGGCATTCATGCTGAGCCATTTTCATCAGTTTCTCTCGCGTTTGGTTTTACAACTGCTTTAGTTTTTGTTAGTTCGTCATTAAACCCGATTCTTTACTGCTGGAAGATAGAGGAAGTGAGACAGGCTGTGAAGGACACAATCATAGAAGTACTCTGCTGTTGATCGAGTTATTTAGCTCTTGTGGAACTATTAGTTCGAGAACAAAATTTATGGGTAAATTAAAATTGTACAATGTCTATGAAATAAAACTTGTTGTCCCTCTGTTATGCAAATTAAGCGGCAATATTAATACAGTTTACTTTGAGCCATGTGTAAACGAAGACAGAAAGTTGCTTTTGTAATTTATTTTCCAATTTGAGCAGATTGAAAGTTTCACCATTCATGACTTAAATAAATATTCACTCAGTAAGTTATTGATTTTGTTAAAAGGATAAGTTTTCTTAAGTTGGTTCCATCTAATTGATGACGTTAAGTTGTTAAGTGCTGCACCTTAAGGTGGTGGGGAGGTTTGCGTGCCTTAGTGACCCTGGAAGCTATACCAGCTCAGCTGAGACTGCAGTCCCTGGTAGGTTCAGCCTTGCTGGGCAGGTTCCAGGTGAAAGGTCAGACGAACTGCGGCACTTGGTCCTTTAAGCTGGGGATTGGGCGAAGGGCCGATAACCCTTCCCTGTGAAACACCTCATATTACGGAAACCGCGCGGCCTTATGCGCAACAGAGCGCGAAGAAGATAGGTGAGGTGAGGCTCATTCATGCTGAGCCATCTTCATCTGTTTCTCTCGCTTTTAGTTCTACAACGACCTTAATGTTCTTTAACTCCTCATTAAACCCGATTCTTTACTTTCGGAAGATAGAGGAAGTGAGACAAGCTGTGAAGGACAAAATTAAATTAGACAAGTACTTTGCTGTTGATTGACCTAGTTAGCTAGCTCTTGAGGCTTGTGGAACTATTAGGCAGTGAACCAAGGTTAGGGGTAAATGAAAATTATATTGTACTATGTCTATCACTATGAAATAAAACTAGTTATCGCTTCGGTTATGCAAATGCAGCGGCAATATTGATACAGTTTACTCTGAGCCATGTGAACAAGAAGACAGATAGTTCCTTTATTAATTGATTTTCCAATTAGGCAGCGTGAAAGTTCTACCGTTAATTAATTCAAAACTTAAATAAATACCCCGACTCCGTAGGTTATTGATTTTGTTAAAAGGATGCCTTTTCTGAGGTTGTTAAGGTCATCTTCTCTTTACTACTGTTTTTATAAAGGGTCTATAAAACAACGTTGTAAGACAGTTTAGTGGTATTATGTCAGTTTTGGACTTAATAACAGTGTCTGACTTAAAGAAGGGTCTTTTTCCGGTTACGTGCCACACTAGTTAATGAAGAACAGCCTCCTAACTTTTAAAAACGGTCTTTTATGAGCAAAACGAGAACTTGTCAATGAATAGTCCAAGAAAGATGGAATTAAGTTTATTCTGTCTCTAAGTAAGTTGTCCATGTCACAAACCTCAAAAAAACAGTGTTTTAAGTATTGTTTTCTGAACTGTGATAATAGCTAGTATCATTTGCCTGCTTAACCTTTTTGTTCTTGTACGCAGCCGTACATCTCATTAATTTTATTACAAGAGATGAAAGAAAAGGTAAAAGAACACAAAAAGGAAGGTAAGGGAGTGGAGGAAAATAGAACCTGACTTTACTGTGAATTTTCACATCTACTTTTTCGAGAAGAAATCGCTTACACGTCTTAAAAAGTATTTTAAAACAACTCTGTGGATCTTTACAGCAATTTTACTGCTCTAAAGATAAATTCTTTTTGGGTCTGGAATCTGTGTGAGTTGTTAGGTACATTTTTCGGTTCATCGCAGACAAAAAGAGCTTTTCACAACCTTTATAAAAT